GATGGGACAGAGTATTACAACCACACACACACACGCGCTAAACCCAGCTCTCCTTTCTTAACTGGGGCTGGATCATCGCTCATTCGACGTGTCCATCCGCATCACCAATTGCAGCAATTAAGCAGAGCAAGCAGCTATTTATCGTGAATTCATCTGACCGTCAGTTTTTACGCCAACGCCGCCGCGATTCGAAGGCCATTTAAGTGGCTTTCAAAATTATCTAAAACGAGCGGGGGACGAGAGATAAGGCGATGCAAATAGTATTGCGGTTTCTGTTCGGTTGGCTGCGAATTTTCCCAACGCTCGAGAGTGATGTCACTTGTTGCATTACACCGCCACAGGCGCGCGTGTACGCACGCTCGCACACGCGTGCGTACACACACACGCGCACGCGTGCGTACACACACGCGCACGCGTGCGTGTGTGTACGCACGCTCGCACACGCGTGCGTACACACACACGCGCACGCGCGCGTACACACACACGCGCGCGTACACACACACGCGCACGCGCGCGTACACACACGCGCACGCGTGCGTACACACACGCGCACGCGTGCGTGTGTGTACGCACGCTCGCACACGCGCGCGTACACACACACGCGCACGCGTGCGTACACACACGCGCACGCGTGCGTACACACACGCGCACGCGTGCGTACACACACACGCGCGTACACACACACGCGCGTACACACACGCGCACGCGTGCGTACACACACACGCGCGTGTGGTAAACGCACACTCAGCAGAAATGTGGAAATGTAAGAGAAGGGTTTTCAGGGGGATCGCTTTTGGCAGCTATCTCACCGCTGCGGTCACGTACACAGGAAGGTGACCGGCCGTACACACACACACACAGAGGCTCAACCTCGGCTATTAATGCGTTAACAACGGACCGACGGACACAAATACAAAGATCCCCCTGAATAGCCTTTAACAGACTGCTGGGGCAAGTGCTGTGAGCGAGCGCCTATGAAGGCCGGCACTGTGACACACGAGGGGGTGGGTGGCCAGCACCACGCCCGGCCACCTTTATCTCCCCAGTGGTGATGTTTACACACCACCCAAAACTGAGTCGACCTCGGGGAAGATCAGGACCAGTTCACATGATCATCACCGGTGTTGGCCATGAGCGGGAATCGAACTCGGGTCGTCGGGTTCGTAGTGCAGCGCGATAACCACTACACTCCCGCTCCCAGACGGAATCACACACACACACTTCACGGCACGACTACTGCGATCGTGGCTACAGTGTACGGGTACAAAGGTTCCACATTGCAGGATTGTATTTTATACGTCCGGCCAGATGGTGTATTCTTGTGTTGAATGTTTCATCCTATTTTAAACCAACCATCATCGTCAGCCCTGATCGATTGGTCCATTCCGAGTGATCGCCCCCCCCCCTCCCCCCGCTGTGCCGTGTCCTGCCCAAGCTCCACTCTTCGTAATCGTTTGGACGTCATGAACCTGCGTGTTCTCCGATCAGCGTGTGCTCCTAATGTTCGTCTCTCGATGCTATTTCGAGACCCATCTCTCTCTCCGCGCTTCTGGGAGAGAACTTTGCGGGGTTTTTGTTCTGCGTTTTTTTTTTCCACAAAGGGCCGCACCAACAACGCGGTACGGTTCCATCACGGTCGAAGGCGTCACGATGGCACTCCAGTGACGTCACCGTGACATCACTGCCGACGATTTTCTTAATTAAACGCCCGTTCACGTGACATCACTTGAGCGCAGTGGCCGAGTGATAATGACGTTAAAAGTAGTTGTTTTCCTTTTCTACGAAACCTCAAATAATGTGATACCTCCACCACATAAATCTTTGGCAAGCATCAGCAGCATAAGGGCTGTTTGTATTTTGTGTTGCGTCCCCCCAATTTAAATTATCGCGCACAATTGGCACTAGTCGGAGTGGCGTCTGTTTTCACAGGGGGTGGGGAAGAGGGGAGGGATTCAGACTGGGCGTGGGACACACAGAGGTCACGTGATTTACGCGAGGCTTGAGCCGATTAGGATATGCAGATGGTTATTCGAGTCGAGGTCGTCTGAAGATACAAAAAGACGTCCTTCTATAATTTGGTTGACTGAATCTCGGGGCAGAAGAGATGCGAAAACACGGGGACAGCCCAGAGAGACGCAGAGTAACACCGAGACAGGGAGACCAGGAACACATTGGCACACACGGACACACAATTATAAAAGTCAGAGACATGAAAAAATATATATAAACAGAATAGACAAGTATACACAGTAAGAATAAACATGTGAATAGTCAGGCTAAAGTGCAGTAAGACGCATTATTATCAGACACACAGATGGATACGTACATAAGATCCTGTACACACAAAGACACAGTCATACAGTAAGGGAGAGAACACACTAACACAGACACTCAAACATGTAGACATACATAGAACACAAACTCACTCAAACATGTAGCCATACATACAACACAAACTCACTCAAACATGCAAACATACATACAACACAAACTCACTCAGACATGCAGACATACATACAACACAAACTCACTCAGACATGCAGACATACATACAACACAAACTCACTCAGACATGCAGACATACATACAACACAAACTCACTCAGACATGCAGACATACATACAACACAAACTCACCCAGACAAAGCCTACCGTACACATTAAACCAACCCACAACATCCGCCATTCGCGACGAAGTCACGGTGACGTCACCACAGAATTTGTACCAGTCTAGGTGCACTTACAGAGTACAAAGGGGCAAGTGCTGTTAGCGAGCGGCACCTATGAAGGTCGGCACGGCACACGAGGGGATGGGTGGCCAACACCACGCCCGGCCGCCTTTGTCTCCCCAGTGAGGATATTGACACACGCGCACTAGATACTCATTTGAGGTTGAGTCGACCTAGGGGAGGCCCAGGACCGGTTCATAAAATCGTCACTGGTGTTGGCCGTCAGTCAGCGCAGCACCCTAACCCCTATACGACCGCTCCCCCTTTAGAGTGCACACAGAGAGTACACACAGAGTACACACGCATACACATAGACCCACAAAAACACCACAAATACGCACACTTACGTACACACAAAAGCTGTTTAACACGAATAAAACATCCCCCGTATAGCCTCAACAGACTGTCAGGGCAAGTGCTGTTATAGCGAGCACCTATTAAGGGCAGTACGGCAGTGGCCACACCCGACCGCCTTTATCTCCCTAGTGGTGATGTTTACACAGCACTGGGGAGACAAAGGCGGTCGGGTGTGGTACAGTATTGGCCACTGTCGTACTGCCCTTCATAGGTGCTCGCTAACAGCACTTGGCCGAGTAGACCAAGGGGAGGTCCCTAGCACAGACACAATCTCACACACACAGACACTCACCGACACAGACACACACGGACACACACGAAGACACACGGACACACACGAGCGAACAGACACACACACACGGACAGACACACACGGACAGACACACTCTCACACACACGGACAGACACTCTCACACACACAGACAGACACACTCTCACACACACGGACAGACACACTCTCACACACACGGACAGACACACACACAGACACACGGACAGACACACAGACACACTCACACAGACACACTCACACAGACACACTCACACGGACAGACACACGGACACACACTCTCACACACACGGACACACACACTCACACACACGGACACACACTCACACGGACACACACTCACACGGACACACACTCACACGGACACACACTCACACGGACACACACTCACACGGACACACACTCACACGGACACACACTCACACGGACACACACTCACACAGACACACACACGGCCACACACACCCTCACACAGACACTCCAACCCTCAACAGCCGCCATTCCTCATTACTCTCCATGACCGCGTCGACGCAAGGGAGTTTGTACCAGGCTTGGTGGCACATCGAGACGACAAAGACGCATACAAAGACATGCACACATACAGCCAGACACTCAATCAATCCACAATCCACAACAGCACTCGCCATTACGTAACGGTGACGCGCTTGTGCCAGGCTAGGTGCGCTTCCGTAGCCGCAATCAAACAACCGCTCTCCGCCAGACACACACTACACATCCACACACACACGGATACAACACCCACACACACACGGACACACTACACACACACACGGATACAACACCCACACACACACACACGGACACACACATACACACACGGATACAACACCCACACACACACACGGATACAACACCCACACACACACGGACACACCACACACACACACGGATACAACACCCACACACACACACGGACACACACATACACACACGGATACAACACCCACACACACACACGGATACACACACACACACCACACACACACACGGATACAACACCCTCGCCCACAGACAGTCAACACCCCAATCCACAACAACAGCCGACATTCACCTCCGCGACGGTGACGTCACCAGAGCGACTTGTGCCAGGCTAAGTGCGCCTCTACAATACAACACACGTACCCAACAACAACAGCAGCCACCGTTCGCCACTAACACGACGACGTCACCACCAGAGCGCCTTGTGCCAGGCTAGGTTCACACACACACGTAGACAACTTCCAAGCGAGTCGCTTGTCCTGCCCCGCCACTCACTCACCCACTCACTCACCACTCACTCACCCACTCACCCACTCACTCACCCACTCACTCACCCACCCACTCACTCACCCACCCACTCACTCACCCACCCACTCACCCACCCACTCACTCACCCACCCACTCACCCACCCACTCACCCACCCACTCACCCACCCACTCACCCACTCACTCACCCACTCACTCACCCACTCACTCACCTACTCACTCACCCACTCACTCACCCACCCACTCACTCACCCACTCACTCACCCACTCACTCACCCACTCACTCACCTACTCACTCACCCACTCACTCACTCACCCATCCACTCACTCACCTACTCACTCACCCACTCACTCACTCACCCGCTGTGCGGGCGGCGTCTCCAGGGCCCGCAGCGCCGAGTCGGTGAGCTTGACGAGCAGCACGGAGCGCCTGGAGCCAGGCCCCACGGGCCGCAGGGCCCCCCCTGCGCCCGGCAGCAGAGCGGCACCCCCCCCGTGCCGCGTCGTCCACTCGTCCTCGGCCACCGCCGTCTCGTTCCCTTGCTGCTTGGCCCTGTGCGGCGCCGCCATCGACCCCCTCGTCCCTCCTCCTCCTCCTCGTCGTCGTTGTTGTTGCTGATCGTCCGCGGTGACGCGACCGCTCCACTCACCACTCGCTCACCTCGTCCACTCGCCACTCGCACTGCCCTCTGCGGACCCCCACCCCTCGCACGGACAGGGGAGGGATGGGGCAGATGACGTTGTCACGGCTGAATTACATGACGTCACTCGCCTCACTCACTACTTCCCTCTTTCGCAATCCATCACTCACACGAAGCGATAGGGATGATGACGTAGGGCAGAGTTTATTACATGACGTCACTCGCCTCACTCACTACTTCCCTCTTTCGCAATCCATCACTCACTCACATGAAATGATGGGGAAGATGACGTAAGCCAGAGTGTATTACATGACGTCACTCGCCTCGCTCACCTTGCCTCACTCTCCCAATTCCCCACTCACACGAAGTGATAGGGATGATGACGTAGGCCAGAGTGTATTACATGACGTCACTCGTCTCGCTCACCTTGCCTCACTCTCCCAATTCCCCACTCACACGAAGTGATGGGGAAGATGACGTAAGCCAGAGTTTATTACATGACGTCACTCGTCTCGTCGGTTGACGTTTGTCATTCACACATAAGCCCCCCCCCAGCTCCGCCCCACCGATATATATGACGTCACTAGCAAATTCTGAAGTTAATTGCGTCATCCACCCCCCCCGGCAGCGACGTGCCTTCACAGAATCCCATAGAGATCGGAAATTACGTCACGGCAGTCATCTTGGTAAAAGTGACAAGTGACGTGGGGGAATTTTGTGCTAAAAGGCGTAGTGCCAATCTTGATTTGAAGCTTTCGTGACTTTACCCAAAGAACTAAAGAGTATAGGCGTAATGCCGTCGACCGCTGGAAGACATCATGTCAATCCGCAAAACGCCGTGCAAATCCGAACGCTGGATGGCGTCAAAATCAACGGAATTGAAGTTCGTGACGTCACGCCAACGCTTTGATGTGTCGTCACACTGCGTGAAAATTGCGTCATGCCAGCGAATGCTTCCGGATGACGTCACAACAGGGCGTGTCATGGGACTGCGCTGCAGAACGTTAGCGGTGCTGGTGCACAAACAACATTAAACTAAAATAACTCAACATAATAACAGCTGATGTGCTATGAATAAGGGTCATTGCCCTAAACGTCGCCTATTATATATATTTCCCCTTTTAAGACCACACACACGGTGTTGTTTATTGACTAATGTGTTGTAATTTTTTTTCTCTTTAAAGTCTAAATGATGCGGTGATGAATGGTCGAAGCCGCTTCAGAATTTTTTTTACTTGTGTTAAACCAATACTGTTTTATTTTTATTATTCACTCAGAGGATCCGGTGTATGTGAAAATTACTTTGGTTTTATTTGGATTGGCAGATATTTTAAGGAGACAGATTGGCTGATTTTCTTTTCGGTAATTGAAACACATCGGGTGATGACGTCATTCGATGACGTCAATCGAGGTAAATTTGAGTATAAATAAGTGCGGACGTCACCATGAACTCCGAGAGGGACCTGTTGCCACGATGCCCCGAGTCGTACCACTCGGTTAAGAAAAATGGGGGTAAATATTGACTGCCATTTACAATCACTCAAATTAATCCTTTAATTAAACTATTAATATTTTCTTCCTAACTTATAGTTGTATATTAATGTGTTTATATAAGAAAAACTGTTTAAAATATTTCAGTATTTATGTTATGATGGCAAAGTGTTTTTGGTTTCGCCCTCCCGTCGGCTGCGCTAATGGACTCGCCCGTTCCACTGCTTCAGCTGGAGGTGACGTCACAGTGACGACGGGTTTAAAGGGAAGCGCGGTTGCTCGGCAACGTCCACGCGTCTCTTTAAATGGAAATGTGACGAAGCTGACGATTTGCCGCCCTCCTGCCCTTGATCCACCCCCCTAAAACATACTGAAGTGTTTTTTAAAACACATCCCATCAGAAACAAGGCCTTCTGCGGAGTGCGTAATTTCCGCAGCATTTGTTCATTAAAATTAATTCATTGGGCATTTGTCTAATGGAAAACTAGACCGGTTTCGACATTAAGTGTCTCATCAGCAGGCAATTCAGGCAGGTAGTGCTCAGTAAATACTACTCAGTCAATACGAATCTGTAAAACTACTTTGTCAGTACAGTCGATAACAGTACGCAATCTTTACAGCCTATGCAGTCAATACAGTATATAAACAGTACTCTGTAAATTACAGTACCCAGTCTATACAGATTATACTTTGTCAGTGAATAGACCATCTAAATCGTCCTCCCTCTGTAAAGTCAGTCTATAAATAGCTCTCGGTTCATACAGTCTATACACGGCACTCAGCCCATACAGTCTATAATCAGTGCTCGGTCCATAGAGTTTATAATAATCGATCCATACAATGTATAGACAGGACATTACTCGGTTCGTACAGTCAATAAACGTTACTTGGTCCATAAGTCTATAACAGTACTCGGCCCATACAGTCTATAACAGTAATATGTCCATAAGGGGCCGTCCATAAATGACGTCAAGCACTTAGGGGGGGGGGGGGTCAGACATTTGTGACGAGGTGTGACGAGGGGGGGGGGGTTGAGAAATGTGACGTCACATCACAATAGTTTAAAGCGATTTGAAGCATGTTTTTTTTTTGGGGGGGGGGGGGCAGAGCTTTGTGACGTCATATTTGAGGGGGGGTCTGACTTTTTGTGACGCCGTGTGACGAAGGGGGGGGGGGTGTTAAAAAAATCGTCAAAAATCGCGTGACGTCATTTATGGACGGCACCTAATTATGTAAATAGTGCTCGGTCCATACAGTCGATAAACAGATTTGCAGCGCAAAGCGCTAACCACGGCGCCACCAACACACACACACACAAAGCCAAATATCCCCTGCATAGCCTTAACAGACTGTAGGGGCAAGTGCTGTTATCGAGCAGCTGAAGGCCGACACGGCACACGAGGGGGTGGGTCGCCAGCACCACGCCCGACCACCTTTGTCTCCCCAGTGGCGATCTTTTTACACACCGGACCAGGTACTCATTTGAGGCTGAGTCGACCTAGGGGAGGCCGAGGACCGGTTGCTGTCATCTCCCTGGCCCACCGCGTCTGAAGAGGGGGCGCAACGGCCTTGGTTTGGCGTGTGTGTGAGGCAAAGCTGCGTGTTCCACTGCATTAGGGATCATCATTGAGTCGAAGTCGGCAGCCCGCTGAGCTCACGGTATCGTTTAAATAGACAACCCCTTTTGTCAATGCCGTGGGGGCTATATAGCCATACCTCGCCACGCTGGTCAACGCGGGGCGGTGAGCACGATGACCATAGTACAGGTACAGCACCACTTAATTGTGTTGCGCTGCACTCTGCTGGCCCGCCACGTAGCCATGTAGCAGCCTATAGCACCTGTTATGCATGGTGGTCACTCTTCCGAACACGATCCAGGTCTCCACCCTGCTCAGCTCTCGAGAGACCTGGAGAACGGACGCATTTAGAGGTGATTTGGTCACCTAGACGTGATATTATATGGGTCCTCACATTCATTGGGGTTCATCAGTTATCCACGCTAAATACTGTACTGACAAACATATCCCAGAGTGTTCCCTAATCCGCGCAATTGTTAGGAATCATGAGTGCGCCATATCGAGACAGTTCAGATTGTTATGAATGCCAACACAGCCCAGAATGGTAAATGAATCCTCATCTTCATTGTAAACTGCCAAGAGACTACAGCTGAAAGTTGGAGTGAGAGTGACAGCCTCATCATGTATCTCCTCCTCTTCCTCCACGCTTGGCCTCCTCCTCCTCCTTCCGCCGCCCCGCTCTCATCTCCCTCCTCTCCTCATCCACAACCGTATGCAAGCAGCGAGCGAAACCCGCACTGGAGTTTCGATATGCGGAGCCTGGAGACTGGAGCGCGGATCCTGGAGCCGCCGAAACAGATTCGTCTGAAGGCGAAGTAGTCGGTCGTGTCGTCAAAAGTATGGATTCTGGAGTGGGGATCTAGATCCTGATTTTGAAATATGGATTCTGGATCCAAAATCCGGGATTGCGGGTGTCGAAACATGCAGCCTCGAGAGTGTGGGGAGCGGTGACGCAGTGGTTAGCGCGTTGCGCTACGAACCCAACGACCCCAGTTCAGCTCCCGCTCACGGCCACCAACACCTAATGGCGCATATCTGAACCCGGGTCTTGGGCGTCCTCTATGTCGACTTAGCCTTAAATTAGTACCTGGTGCGGGAGATCTTTATCCTCGTGTATGAAATAAGTACAGTATATGTGTACTGTCTATGTATGTACTGTGTATGGTCTGTGTATGTTGCATTGATATACTTGGTGTGTATGATGTTTGTATGTCATATATGTGTATGCATGTTATATTCATGTAGTATGTACTTACTATGTGTATATGTAGTCTGTTTGGTGTACGTAGTGTTTGCGTTGTGCATGTAACATGTATGCAATGTGTATGTAGTATGCTTGTGTGTGTTGTATGTAGTATGTATATTGTGTTTCCTATGAATGTAGTGTGCATGTAGTATGCATGTTGTATGCATGTTAGTGTGGAGTTTATACGCATGTAGTATCCATGTTGTGTGCTATATGTATGCAGTGTGCATGCTGTATGTAATAAGCACGTGTGATGTATGTAGCGTGTATATTGCATGTGTGTAGTATGCACATTGTGTTGGATGCTGTGTTGCACGTAGTGCATATATTGTATGTATGTAGTATGCATGTTGTATGTATGTAGTATGCATGTTGCATGCATGTAGTGTGTATGTTGTCTGTGCACTGTGGATGTAGAGTTTGGAGGTACATCAATTACAGAACCGCCTTCACCTTGGCTTCAGTCCAACATCCTCCCTCCTCCTCCCCTCCCCCACTCCCCCTCCCCTGCCTCTTAATCTCTCCTCACCCTTCTTCTCTCATCACCGCTCTTATCTGCTCCATCTACCCCCGTCAGTCACCCCGTCTCCTCCATCTCTTTCCAATCCCAGTTCCCTCCCTCTGTGCTCTCTCCCCTCCCCCAACCTCTTTCTCCTCCCGCCTTCCTCCCCTCTCGCTTCCTCCCTTTTCGTTCCCACTCTCCCTCCCTCACATTCGCTCTCCCTCCCACTCACCTCTCTCCCTCCATCCCATTCGCTCTCCCT